AGAGCTGGCCCATGCTGGGCACCTGTGGGGAGCTGGGGGATTGGGGTGGGAGTTCGGGGGCTTATGCAGGACCCCCCACACAGCATGGGGCAGCGGGGGGCAGTGGGGATTGCCACCCAACCCGGCAGCACCTGCTGAGCCATGGCTTTTTTTTTTCCTCAAGTGCTGGGAGCTGGGGCAGGCAGGGCAGCCATTGCTGGGCTGGGAGTGGGTGGGGATGGGCCTGGCCTGGCTGATTCAGAAATTCAGAGATTCGGCTGAATCGAATTGGGACAGTGATTCAAATCGCCGAATTGAATCACTGTGCCCCGAATCGGCCAAATCCGAATCCAAAGCAAATACTAGCCGCTTCACACAGACCTACTGCTCAGTGCCACAAAGGAGCAGTGGGGACAGCCACAGCTGGATCTGCATCCTTTCAAGTGAAGGGGGCAGGGGGAGTTCTGATTTTTCCATGGTAAGAAAACCAAAATCAAATGCCAATATATATATATAGGTATTTAGAATTTATTTTCTTATAATGGTTGAGGCACTGATAGGCTTCCAAATTGCTTTAAAACTGTAAATATATCAATAAAACTTAAGTGTTTAACAGATACTTATATCTATAGTGGTATTTCATTTTAATCACAGAAAAATGCAGGTTTTGGGGTTTTTAATCAAAGAATTTTGGATTTTTTTAACAGAACAAAACCGGTTCCCTGGATTAGGCCCCAACTAGTTGCTAACAGCTTAACTGATGCGTCATTAGGCTCCCCTTTGTTTTCCCCTTTAACCTCTTCACCCCCTGTCCTTCCATCTCTCTCCACTGTCCAATAATAAGGTAAGGGTTCCCTGTTATAGCCTCCTCTCTATAAATTCCAGTTATTACCAACGGCATTTTTTTTTCTGTCAACCTGTGAGTGTGTGGTGAAGTCTCTGTTTATCAATATTTATCAATAAAAATCGGATCCTACTAAGCCTACCCATATTCAATAATGATGAAAATGGAATGGGTGCAGAGAATAGCTATGGGATCAGTGGACTGGAAAACTTATTGTAAGAGAGGCAACTAAAAGAGCTTGGCTTGTTTAGTGAGGCAAAATGAAAACTGAGCAGAGATATGATTACTTTCTATAAATCTATTCTATGTAACCACCAGGAATATAAAAGAACCATGTAAACTAGATGTTGACACAGAAATAAATGGGGTGTAATTTCCAATGGGAGTAAAAAAACCCCATAATTGCTTTTAAGATAAATCACAACCTGTTTATGAAAGGATTGATATGGCATGCCTGCAGGGGACTGGTCTTGGTGACCCAGCAAGGCCTATCTTCCTATGTTCATTATCAAATTCACTAAGCCATACAGAGGATTTTTCATAAATGTCCAGAAATAGGCTTTCCTATCTGCATTCACACATACTGTAGCTGATGCAACCAGAGAGGAAATATTACCATCAATGTTCATATCTCATGAAGGAAGCAGCCCCTGGAAATATAATTCTTCCGACACACGGTTTTTCTTTTATAGCTTTCTGTTCCTTTTTTAACTAGTGGATGTCCATGCTATCACATCTTTGTGTCTGCGGGTCAAAGATGCTCTAGAATATGCCATATTTAATGTAAAACTAGCTTCCCTCAACTTTCTCTTCCCCTTCCTATATGTATTGATTTTGTGTGTGTTGGGGGAGGGGGGGTTGACAGAAAAGTTATTCTGGTCCCAAGATTTATACATGCATAGATTCATAGATGCTAGGGTCATAAGGGACCTCATCAGATCATTGAGTCTGACCCCCTGACAGGAAAGAGTGCCCCCAGGGTAGGGGAAAGCGCCACCTCCCTTGAAAGCCCATTCCAAATTCTGGCTACCCTTACCATGAAGTTCTTCCTGATGTCTAACCTATATCTGCTCTGTGTCAGTTTGTGACTGTTGTTCCTTGTTACCCCAGGAGGCGCCCTGGTGAACAGAGCATCTCCAATTCTTTGCTGCCCCCACTAATGAATTTGTAGGCAGCCACAAAATCACCTCTCAGCCTTCTCTCTTGGAGGCTGAGGAGGTCCAGGTCCCTTAGTATTTCCTCATAGGGCTTGGCCTGCAAACCCTTAACCATGTGAGTGGCCCTTCTCTGGCCCCTATCCACATTATTCTTAAAGTATGGCACCCAAAACTGGACACAGCACTCCAAGTGCGGTCTGATGAATGTCACATAAAGGGGAAGTTTCACCTCTTTGGATCTATTCGTCATGCATGATAAAGTGCGGTTAGCTTTGTTGATGATTTTGTCACACTGACGACTCATGTTCATCTTGGAGTCCACTACGACTCCAAGATCCCTTTCCACTTCTGTGCTGCTGAGAGGGTCATTCCCCAGCCGGTAAGTGTGCTGGGTATTTTTACACTCTAAGTGCATCACTGCATTTGTCCTTGTTGACCTGCATCCTACTGTGTTCAGCCCACTCTTCCCACCTGTTCAGGTCCACCTGCAGTCGTATCCTACCCTCTGGTGTGTTCACTTCACTCCACAATTTAATATCATCAGCAAACTTGGGCAGAGTACACCTCACTCCCGCATCCAAGTCACTGATGAAAACATTGAAGAGTACTGGTCCAAGGACCGAGCCCTGCAGGACCCCACTGCTCACATCATTCCAGGATGATACCAACCCATCCACCACCACTCTCTGGGTGCAACCCCCAAGCCAATTTGCCACGCACTGGACTGTGAAAACATCTAAGTCACAGCCTCTTAATTTATGTATGAGAATAGGGTGAGATACTGTATTGAAGGCCTTCCTAAAATCTATCTAGTCATAATGGAGTGACATGATTCCTGAATCTGAAAGGTCTTCTTTATGAAAAAAACACACCCATCTCAATACACGTTGTGCAGAGGTGGCCTTGTATTTACAGCTGAACTGTATGCCCACAAAAAAGTATTAAAAAATACTTCCCAAACACAAGTTCCTGGTTGCATTAGACAGAAATAAAGGTTTATTAGAGAATTTATTCACCAAAAGGTAGATTATTGTGCATGGTACAGTTTAACTCAAATATCAATGATTGAACCCATACAGCATTGCAGATGGAAACGGCATAGAGTCTGATAGGCAGGAAGGTGGCCTGTCTCAACAGCTGTGATGGGTTCCTAGGGACAGATTGCAGAAGCAGTCCTAAGTAACTGTTAGGAGCTTTTCTCCTTGTTCTTTGTTCAGGCATGCAGACAATATAGACAACACACTTTAACTTTCTCTCTGAACAATGCTGAGCTGGAGGATCATTGGTATCTCTGGTTAGGATTTTCTTCCATACCCTGTTGAGAGATGGAGGGCACCATTCATTAATTTAGCAATGCAATAAAACCACATTGACAAAAAAAAATCTGACAAAAAAATGGAATTGGGGAAATTGGTAGGTTGGTTGTCAATATTCTAGAAACTTACAAAAGTATTCCAGAACTAAGAAAAAATGGTATTTTGGGGTTGGTCTTGAGAGCATGAAAGAGCTGGAAAAAAGTTGTAATTGTACTTAAGTGTTGGTTCGGCAAAACTATGCTGCATGGTATTCATTTACACCGTCTATTAAAATAAAAAGGAGCCAAATATGCACATCTAAGGGGACAGATTGATTCTTGGTTTTCATAGCATAGGAATATGAATGCATTTTATTTTAGAAAACAACCCATAAATCCACCATGCATTGAAGCATCTTCAAAAGATTTTGTCTTAGCCTCACTTTTCTTCTCCCCAGGGCTCCCCCTCCCTGTCCTCTGCCTGCATTTGCCTGTTTTTCCTGTTACCTTTTGTTTCTTCTCCCTCTGTTTTGTCTCAGAAAAGCCCCCTCCCCTATTCATCTTGCCCCTGGATCAGCCGAATCCAAATTCAAAGCAAATACTAGCTGCTTCACACAGGCTTAATATTTATCCTATAAGAGACTAAGCAAATAAGGGCCCGTGTGGGTAAAACAGAATCTGTTTGGGTCAAAGTCATTTTGGGGAAGGATGATAAAAAAAGACCCCGTGTGTAATACTGATGGAGTGCTGGCTGGGAATCTGCTTACAGGCCCAGATTTGTATAGAGGACACTGTAATGTAATTATTATTGGGAATTCTGTAATTATAGCAGCTTCTAATGTCCCAGATATGAGAATAAATGTTATTTATAATGGCAGGGCCGATGAGAGTTTGTTTTATGCTTGCTTTTGTATGGAACAAGGACATTAGAGAAGGGCTAGTTACAGAAAATAACTTTGGATTAGGTAATCATGGGTTGATTCACTTGTCTTAAATAGGTCTATAATGAAGATGTTGGATTTCAAAAGGGCACAACTTGATAATTTAACAGAACTTCTTAGTAAAATCACATGGGCTGAGGAGTTCAGGGGCTGAAATGTAGAAGACGCCTGGAGTTCCTTCAAGTCCAAGAGCTAAAATTATTAGGAGTCTATTTCCAAAGCAAGAAGGAAAATTGTAGGAAGGGATGTAATATCTAACCAGATGCATAATCACAACAAGGAGCATATTAAGAATAAACAGAGAACTAGACTATATACAATAGGAAAAAGATTGATCAGCAAAGAAAGCTATATTTTATGAGTCAAGTCATGCAAGAATAAAGTGAGAAATGTCAAAAGTTAAGCTAAATGTAATCTTCTTGCAAAGGATAGCAAATCCCCCCTCCTCCTCCCCCGGGTCCAAAGATTCTTCAATCATTCAAATGAGAAGAGAACAAGAAAACAGAGATTGACAGGAACAGGGATGAAATGAAGATTAAAGAGAATCTGGAATGGCCCTCAAGCTAAATGAATGTGTCAGCTTAGTTTTCTGTGAGGAAAATAATGTTCACAAAATGGGGCAAATACAGATTGGATAATGAGAGCAAGGGCATAGAAATGAACCTCAGCCAAGGTGGAAGGAAATTTCAAGGAGCTTAACGCCCTCGGAAAGAACTGGCATGTGAAATGATAGGTTCAGTAGCAAGCATCAGATTGATGCCAGTCAGGCTACCTTAACAGTATGTGAGTAGGCTTTGCAGAATTCATTTTATAAAATATATTCTCAATAGCAAAAATCAATGTTTATTTAAGCATTTATTTTGATTTTTATCCATTTAAATTTTCAGGATTGTACAGAACTGGGGAATTTTTTTATTTTTATTCATTTAAATTTTTCAGGATTGCATGAAATTAGGGGTGTAAGGTGATTTAGTAATGACAGTATACTGTAAACAGCTTTATAAAATTATGTCAAATTATGAAAAATAAACATCCATGAATGACTACATCATACCAGTTTCATATGTAACCCGGGCGGTACTCCAAGAGGTACCCCCTCTGCAATTGAAGGGATCAGACCAGGTGTAGAAGCGCTGTGGGAGGTGTAGGGACCCTCCTCCCCGTATAGAGCAGAGCCAGATCACTAATGGGGACTTAACCATATACCTTTTAATGAGAGAACAGTACTGGGAACATAACTAGTATAAACCAGGGGGTATAGGGGACACTACAATGCCCCAGTGGGGCAGTATTCAATAAAGGTTAGACAGTTGTTTTAAAAAAAGCCCCCACTCACCGGCTTTTTGAAGCTCTCTCAGAAAAGATTTAGAGAGCTTTGATCATTCATGTAGTGCCCGCTGGATACAGCAGGGAGCTGGACCCAGACTCCATGCTGGTAAGTACGGAGCAGGAGAGGGAAGGCTGAAGGAGGGGGAAGGGGACAATGGGGGACCCCTGCTAAGGCCCATTCCCTGCCTGCTCCCCCAGCCCCCATGATCACCCCCAACCCTGCCCGCTCTCCCAGCCCCCCCATGGCTGCCCTACTTGCCCTAACTCTCAGTTGTTTTAAAAAAAAGCCCCCAATCACCGGCTGCTGCCAGGTGGGGGGGCAATCCCTGCTGCCCTCCACTACCTCTGCCTGGCAGCAGTCGGTGATTGGGGTTTTTTTTTTGCAAAGAGCCAGGAAATGGGGCCAGGCGGGCCTCGGAAAGCGTCCCTCAAATCAGTCAAATCCAAATCCAAACCAAATACTAGCAGCTTCAAACACGCTTACAATACATCGGTCCAATATCAGATCAGTACCGATATAAAGACAACTGTTTTCTGTTCCTTTTAACTAGTGCAAGGGTTTTCAACATGTTTTGGCCAGGGTACCCCTGGTGCCCTGTTGGGAACCAGGGCTTCGCCTGGCAGCCGGTCGATGAGCGGGGCGGAGACAGTCCCCTGTGCAGCACGCAGCAGCGAAATGCAGTAGTGCTGCCAGGTTCTCCGTGACACTGTCGCATACACCCTGGGACCTAACCAAGTACCCCCAGTCATACGCGTAACCCCCATTCAATACCCCAAAACTAGTGGATATCCATGCTATCACATCTTTGTGTCTGCAGGTCAAAGACATGCTCTGGAATGTGCCATATTTAATGTAAGACTAGCTTCCCTCAACTTCCTCTTCCCCTTCCTATAGGTATTCATTGTTTATTTGACAGAAACGTTATTCTAGTCCCAAGATTTAGCTAGTCATATTGGAGTGACATGATTCCTGAATCTGAAAGGTCTTTTTTATGGAAAAAACAAATGCATCCCAATACATGTTATGGGGGAAGGTGGCTTGGTATTTACAGCTGAACTGTATGCAGACAAAAAAGCATAAAAAAATACTTCCCAAACACAGGTTCCTGGTTGCATTAGACAGAAATAAAGTTTTATTAGAGACTTTTTTCACCAAAAGGTAGATTATTGTGCATGGTACAGTTTAATTCAAATATCAGTGATTGAACCCATAGAGCATTGCAGATAGAAACGGCATAAAGTATGACAGGCAGGAAGGTGGCCCATCTCAACAGCTGTGATGGGCCTCTTGGGACAGATTGCAGTAGCAGTAATAAGTAACGCTTCGGAGCTTTTCTCCTTATTCTTTGTTCAGACATGCAGAGAGCAACATGCTTTAACTTTCTCTCTGAACAATACTGAACTCGAGGATCATTGGTATCTCTAGTTAGGATTTTATTCCATACCCTGTTGAGAGATGGAAGGCACCATTCATTAGTTTAGCAATACAATAAAACCACATTGACAATAGAATGCAACCCATGAATCCACCGTGCGTTGAAGCATCTTCAAAAGATTTTGTCTTAGCCTCACTTTTCTTCTCCCCAGGGCTCCCCCTCCCTGTCCTCTGCCTGCCTTTGCCTACTTTTTCCTATTACCTTTCATTTCTTCTCCCTCCATTTTGCTTCAGACAAGCCCCCTCCCCCATTCATCTTTCATCCGAGGTCCATTTTTCATACTCTACGTCTTGGCTTGCAGTGGCATCAGGAACAACTGGGAGTCAAAGAGCACTCCCAAATTGAATACACCCCCCATAACAGCTGTAGAAACCTCCCTTCCGTGTCCTAAAGATCCCAACTGACCATTGTAACAAAGACCATGTTCAGACTGAAATTCCACCAGATGGGTTTCCAGGATACCCAGTTAATGGCAGAGTACCGATTTAAATTTGGAATTAAGAGTAAATCAGCTGTCTATAAATCATACTGCAACCCAAATGATCTCAAGGTTTTCCTCCCAGTCTCTCATTCCAATTGACAAAGAAAGGGGTAAAATAGAGACATGAAGAGTTCCCTGCCGGTGATTCTTCCAGCCCAATGAGTTAATTGGTATATGGCCAAATTTAATCAGAAAGGGACAAAAGACACACTTGAACAGTATAATAACCCTTACCATGGCTTTCTCCACCGCTCTTGCAAGGCTGGGATTAAGAAGATGAGGAGATGCCGTGGGAAGATGAAGAGTAGGAGTGGGAAAATCCACCACCACACCCTGAAATTCCAACTCCTCCTCCACCACCTCCTCCTATTCCTCCACCTGAAATAACACAGGAGCCACCACCTCCACTACCAC